ACATGATTGCCTAAGAATTTATCATGCATGGCACATAACTGACTGACCCTTGGGAAAGGTATGAATCCTCTTCCCTCCCCCCAAGCTATGGGTAAATAGCAGGACAGACCGGGTTTTATAGCCATGGATGACAACTGGTCTACTGCAGAAAGAAATGGCAATCTACTGTGGGAAAAAATCTACCTTGTCAGTTATGTATTGAAAGATACATGATTGCCTAAGAATTTATCATGCATGACACATAACTGAGTGACCCTTGGTAAAGGCATGAATACTCTTCTTCTCTCCCCCCACCCCATTATGGATAAGTAGCAGGACAGGCCAGGTTCTATAGCCTTAGATGGCAACTGGTCTACTGCAGGAAAAAATCTTTGTGTATTGAAAGATACATGATCACATAAGCATGTATCGTGCATGGCACATAACTAACTAATGTGACTGAGACTTTATTTAATGTGTTTTTTTTTTTTTCTTATCTGGGAATATAGGCTGGTAGATTCTTTGTCCTTAACATATAGAGGATCGTCTGACTTCTATAATGAGATATGCCGTTGTTATGGTAATGTGTGGCAATAATTGACATATTTTTTGTTACCATGAATATTGTTTTACTAAATATTGAGATGAGATTGAAGTTTTGTCTCAATTTTTTTTTTGTTCTGGTTTTACTTGGATATTTTTCTTTTTACATTTAATGATTTAAAGAACATTATTTTTCTTTCATTATGGTTGTCAGATCTCAGCAGGAAATTGTCGTCAAGGGAAGTAAATTTTAGCTTCTTATTGAATTGCTTGACATTAAAGGAAACCTTAGATTGCAAAATAAGATGTAACTACTACCATCATTCTGTGTGCCATGTCCTCTCAGGATATGGTTCTCTACAACTTCCTATCCTTTGTAGCTTTTAGCAATGTTTCTTTCTTTGCTATCCCTCCCCCTCTGTTCTGCTATCCATTTAAACAAGCTTGTTAAGTATGTTATTCACTCATTTCCTCTGTCCCTCTAGCCTTCAATGTGTCTTGTGAGTGCCATATTTTCCAAGCCGTTTTTCATCATTATGTTTCCCAGAGATTTCACCTTCTCTTTCAGATTTTTGTATAATTGTCCTTTTTGTTTCTATTGTCCTTAAAACCTCCTCATTCTTCACATCCTTGGTATTCTCAGCATCCTTCTGTAGAAGCACATTTCTGTTGCTGCCAGTATCCTCTTTAGCTATGAAGAAATTGTCCAGTATTCTTTGCCATATAGAAGGAGTGAAATTAAATACCAGTTCAGCACTCTTTGTAATAAAATTTTCCTGTTTTTTAATACTTTGTTTAGATTTTGGAAAGCATCTTTTGCAATTCCAATTTTTGTATCATATTTTCTGTCATCTGTTCAAACACTTTCCAGATAGTTAAAATCTTGTATTTGTTTGATGTCTAACTCCAATACGTAGTTCACATCTTGTCTTTTTTTCTCTTGCTGATAACAATATACTATGTCTTCTTACAGTTGATGTCTTTTCTTTCCACCTTTCTTTATTATCTTTTCTAAGAGGTGTTGTACTTTTCCTTTTGTGTCTGCTATCAACAGTGTCAGGTGTGAAAATAGGAATATTAATGTACTGTGCTAGTCTAGGCTTATTGTTAAATTTCTATTTCCACATGATTATAATAGTTTATAAGTGCGTATGTTTTTATTTTTTTCTTACTAACATAAGATATAAACACTTGTCCAATGATTTATAGAGCACAAGGTTTAATGAAGAGACAGATTATATACAGGAAACACTGGATGAATAAAGAGTTTTTTTTTTCTCACTTTGGTACCTTTTTATTTTAATATTGAGAAATTATCACTAGAGTAATGATACCTTGATTTGTCCAAGATGTTCTGTTTTGTTTTGTGTTAGTTTTTTCTCTCTTCATTTCTGTTTATGCTTAGTTAGGCATTTAGATGCACACAAACATGTGTTTGATTATATACAACTTGTGATGCAATGGCTTATGCTAACCTCCAGAAGAGTAACTCATTGTACCTTTGTGAGCGCTAACGTTTTCTGCTAGCATGAAGTGGAAAGATTATACAGAATCAATTGCTACATTTGTTGCTAAGAAAGTTGTGCTAAACAATTTTTCTCACTACTTTATAAGTCTACCATCCATTCATCTGGTACTTCTGCTATGTATCTATAGATTCTTAATAAAATTCAAAGAAGAATCTGCAATGTTATCAGTCCTGGCCTGGCATTTTAAGCTAGTAAATCAATAAAAATTGCAGATTGTTTTTTTTTCTTTTTACTGAATTAGAGGGTTGAGTAATCTAAATGTAAGAGAAGGTGATATGTAGTAAAGATGACCAGAATAAATAGGATAGATAATGATTAACCTTTGATTTAAAGAGCTTAAGATTATAGTGTTTGAGGAAGGATCCACACAGGAGTCTGTTCCACAAAGTAACAGTTCTTGAGGAAAAGCTGAGTGAAACTTCCTACTTACAAATGGAATACAGAAGAAATGAGGGTAATTCAATTCCATGGATGTAGGCATGTTCTAGCAGTAAAGCTCTGAACTGGCAGAACAAAAGAATGGAGCTAAATTAAGAAATAAGTAATATTAACCAATGATAATAACAAGAATGGCTAAAAGGGCAACTAACAAAACTGTTGATTTTTGATTCAGAAAGATAAAGTTGATGTGTGTTGATAAAAAAAAATCAGCTCATTTGGTCAGATTTGGGAATGTGATTCAGTTCAAGGATTTTTCAGCATTCTTTTCAAAAAGTGACTGAAATAAGAGAAAAGGCAAAAAAGAGTTCACTTTCCCACCAGGAATATACGCTCTAGTGTACATGAAAGCAGTGCCCAACATTACTGATAAATAGAATCAACAGAGATTCTTATTCTGTTGACATCAATAAGTCATCAAATAAAAATCAGCATAATTGCACATGAAAGTGAATGTTCTATCGTAACTATGGATGTAATTGACTTATTGTGAAAATGGCCTGTGATAGGTACTTTATTTGTGGCATTGATGATGTAAATGTCATTCTACAAACCCTTTATGGTCTTAGCTCAATCATGGTGCTTTGAATGAAACTGATTTTTCTGAAATTGAAACAGTCATTAAGGGAATGTATTGTGGATGATGCGTCTGTCAGTTTATCTTGTTCAGAATTGCTTTGGAACAGTGGTGAGTGCATTAATCTTGAAGACTATTACTCCTGTAGTGAGGATGATCTTCAATTGTGACATTGTTTAACTGTATGTGCTGTATCCTTTCAAGACACGGAAATCTAAACCCTCTACAACTTCCTGTTCTTATTAGCTCTTAATAAATTTTGTCTTTTTGCCATCTCTCCCAAAACCTGATCTGCCATCCATTTGCTCAAGCTCGTCATGTAGTTTGTGCGTTGCTTTCCGCTATCTCTCTTGCCTTCAATCTGTCTTGTGAGTATCAAATTTTCCAAGCTCTCTTTCTTCATTATGTGCCCCAGAAATTTCAACTGTCTCTTCTTGATGTTAAGTATAAGTGAGCATGTCTTAGTTTTTCCAATTTTAAAAATTTAACAACATTTTTACTTTTGTTTATAAATACTTGTTGCAAAAGAAAATCATTACATTTGCCTGGATAAAGCCCATCACAGGATGAAATGCATTGGCTAAGATAAGTTTTCCTTTTCTCTTTATTCATATTGTCCTTTTACAGATATATTTTAGTTATCTGAAATTTTACATGTGTGTGCACACACACATACACTGAGGTCAACACTGAGTGGTGACAATCTGTTTCATGCAATCTTCAGGCCATCTTATATTTACATATGTTCTATTCTTGATATTGAGCACTTTTGCCCATAAATATGGCATACTTTGAAATATATATATATATATATATATATATATATATATATATATACAGAGAGAGACCGACAGATAGACAGACAGAGATATCTCCTTAACCCCTCCTGCCACCAATTTAAACTAGCCTCCTCAAACAAATGTGTGCATAAATTAAAAATGATAATACATAATATTTCTTATGTGTGGAATATTTATCCCCCATTTATTTGTATGTAAATGGCCTGAGGAATTAGGATCAAATTTTGTTCCCAAAGAAATAAATTGTAATCATCATGAAACCTTAGAGTTGTCTGTTTCTTAATAATAATATATATATATATATATATATATATATATATATATATATATATTTCAACCTTATCTGTTGTAGATATCAGGACTTCGAATTGATTGAATTTATCTATCTATCTATTCTATTCTATGTTTGGTTGAATAATCAGGACATATTATGTTTATTTATTTTAATGCTCTCATCAACATCTTAATGGTGATATTAAATTCATTCGGGAAGGTGCAGTACTTTTTTCTTTCACACACACACACACACACAGGCCCACATTTTGTTTATATATATATATATATATATATATATATATATTTTAATAAAAATGATAATATATTATATATTATTCTAACTCTCATGGATATTTTCTTTGGCTTTTAACTGAATTGTAAGAATTTGAAGCAATGAAGGAGGTTTTGACAAAACTTGAACCCATGTTTTATTAGTTTGAAAGTATTGTTGAGGGAAAAAAAAAGAAAGAAAAAATATGACGTTTACTATCAAAAATGTGTAGAATAATTAAAATACTTCATCTGAAACAATTTGAAACCTTTTCTCTGAGATATATTTAACTTAGTTTCCTTGGTTGCCAAGCCTGCTGGTTTAACCTTTTGAATTAAACTCAAAAGTACTTCATTGAACTTTGCAGTAGTTTCATTGCAAATTTAAACTGATTTTTGTTTTTTGTGCTATCAACAAAATGGTCATAATTACTTGTGTTAGTTATTTCCCTCTTCTCTCTGCACACCAATCACCTGCAGTTTGTCTTTTTTTTTTTTCTTTTTTTTTTTTCTTTTTACCAAAATTTATTTATTTTAATTCATAGATGACATTTTATTGATACTGTTTTGCACTTATTGTTTGGCCAGGAACTGTATTACCTGAGTGCTGTCCTTGCTAAGAAGCGGAACAAAGGGGAGGAAAATATTGTTGTTTTGCTGAATGAAGCGATTGAAAAGCATTTCTCAACCCTGAAGGTATTATTTTTATTGTTAATAATCATTAGTTTATTTTAAAGAAAATTATTTTCTTATTGACATTGCTGTTGAGCTAAAACTTGTTTTTGTGTAAACTCTAGAAAATGCCAAACAAGTATTGTATATATGATTGTGTATGAAACAAATGTTCAGTTTTGTATATAAGGTAAGTATATCAGTATACGTCTCTGGTGCATTGAGTTTCAATTTCTCAAAGATTATCAGATGCAACATATGAGGGTGTGATGCTAGAACTGTGAAATCTTGCATGCATTAATTTCAACACTTCTTATTAGTAACTGCATTGTTTATTTCCAGCTAAACAGACTGTTCAAATCTGACTATTTGAAGACGACTTCAAAAGTAACTCGTAGTGACTTGTCTTGAAAATGGATGAAATTAGGCATCATGATGTTATCAAATGCCTGCAGAAAAAAGGTTTAGCTCCTAAAGACTTTCATGCTGATATGATTGCTACATTAAGGGATGATGTTCCAGCTTTATCAATAGTCCAAAAGTGGGCAGTTGAATTTACAAGGGGAAGGGAAAGTCTTGATGATGGCCTAAGGTGTAGACATCTTGCAAATGCCACCTCTGAGGAAAATATTGAATGTGATCACCACATGGTGGTGGATGATAAGTGATTGACTATAAGTCAAATAACCAATCTTATTAGCATATCCCGTGAGAGTTGAGAATACATTGCTCAATGAACTTGGCATGATGAAGGTTTCTGCTCAATGGGTCATTTGACACCTGATCAAATATGCACCAGGGTGGACACATCACAGGGAAAAATCTGACATTGTTTAAAACAAATCCAGCTGGTTTCCTTGAATGTTTCCTAACATGGATTGAGTGTTGGGTTCATTATTTTGAGTCAGAGACAAAGAGACAATCCATTCACAGTGGAAACACTACTCTTCACCTACTCCAAAGTAGACCAAGGACTTTCATTTGTAGGGAAAGTGATGGCCAAAGTTTTTTGGGATGCAAAAACCATTGTGGTTGACTATCTTAAAAAAGGCCACACCATCAATGGAAAGTACTATGCCAACTTGCTGAGGAAATTACAAAAAGCTATGAGGCAGAAAGCACAGTACAACTGATAAAAGAGGTCTTGTTTCATCAGAACAATACTCCAGCATACAAGTCCATGGTTTCAATAGTTGCTGTGGGTGACTCTCTCTATTCTCCTGATTTGGCCCCATCTGACTATTGTCTGTTCCCCAACATGAAAAAAAAATCTTGGCTGGAAACCAGTATTACAGTGATGATGTTGTCATATCTGTTGTTGATGACTTTCTTGACCAACAGGATGAACAGTCTTTCAAGAACAGTCACATGCCAGTTTACCTGGAAAGAAGCAAGGTAGTTATTAATAAGAAGAGCTGAAATTAACACATGCAAGATTTCCCAGCTCCTTTATAGACAGCCTATTAATTTTGCTTGCCACCTTTGTATACCAAAGTCTGAAGAAAACCACAGCTGAAACATTATAAACAAAACCACAAGTATGAAACTTTATTCTGAATTAAGCCCTGGAGTTTCAAATTTTCACTAACAATAAGGTTGGTTGACTAATTTTTATGACATACTAACTCTTGTTGGGTTATTTAATATCCCATTTTTTATGAGGATTGACTTGGCTTGGTAGTAATATCAACGACTATTAATGTTATGGATCAGTTGCCGTAACGCAAAGTTTAAAAAGAAAAGATAAAAAAAACAACTGGTTGTCAAAGGAAATGACCAATGTTTACCACTTCATGTGGAAGGATTCTCTAGCAGGTTCAAATACACGGATGAGAAGAAACAATCAACAGTAACTAACAACAAACAGTAATATATATAATTTAATAAAATTTAATTATAACAAGACAATACATGAAAACATTAATGTAAGATAGTGCGTAGAAAGATGTTTGCTATACGTTTCTGTGTGGAAAGATGTATGCGTTATATATTTGATATGAATAGTTAAAGCATACTTAGCTTTAGTCATTTGCCTGAAATAAAATAAGGTTTTCTCTTTTTCTCTCACTTTGTTTTATATTTCTCTTCTGTTCTTCTTACTTTCAGTTCAGTTTGTTTTGGCTGTGCAGTAATATCTTTGGATATATCATTCTTTCTTCACTTTTATATGTTTTGACCCCAAGAGTTGGTGGTTTACTCTCTTCTTCACATATTCAGTAATGTAGAATTCATTGTTTGGGTAGGAATATTCAGCACTGTATAAATTTTAGCCTACGTCCAATTAAGTGGATCACACATGCCTGTCTTAGGTGATTATCATGCTTAGTAATTCACCTGTGTATTTGATATATGCAACATAATGTGTTAAGTTGAATTGGAACTTGTCTTCATTGCAGGATTTCCTTTGCTTGATGGTAACAAGTGAAAAGAGATGTTAATCATCTAAGACCCAGATTCCAATTAATTCCTTTCGTTATTTTCCTGCTCAACATTTCATACATGATCACATAATTCTGCATGTGTGTGAGAAACTATTTTTAGATTTTGCTTGGACCTGTTACTAAGGTCATCAGCCTGTCTGACCTAATTGTTCTTATAGTCAGCAACTACTATTACAGATTGAAAGAGAGTGTGTGAGTGGATATACTATATTATAGCAAGGTGTAAAGAGAGATGGTTCACTAAGTATAAAATTTGTGTCATTATGGGTTTTGGTTGTGTAAGGATATAACACTAACCATTACCCCATAATGAGATGCCTTATTTACAATAAGTATTTGGTAGTTTAACAGTAGATTTGAAATTTTTACAGTTATATAGATGGTCTGGATACGTTTCTTGCTCTTTGCATAAACATCTTTTATGGGCCATGTCTCTTAAGGACATGGGTGATTATGGCTCGCTACAATTTCTTATTTTTTTGTAGCTTGAAGTAATTTTTATCCTTTTATTCTCTCTCCCAATCCCTGTTTTATATATATATATATATATATATATATATATATATATATATATATATATAAAAACCTTATTAGGTAGGTACTCTGATTTTTGCCTCTTGCCTCTAAAATGTCCTATGAATGTCAAATTCTCCAAGCCATCTTTCCTCATTATGTATCCCATAAATTACAGTTATTTTTTGTAATTCTATACATTCTTTTTGTTACCATTCTCTGTATAAAAAAAATCCTCATTGTTCACATATACCATCCATAGTATTCTCAGCATCTTTCTGTAGAACAACATCTCTGTGCCTCAAGTCTCCCCTTTATCTATGAGGAAATTGTTTAGCATTCACTACCATATAGGATAATTGATATTGATAGCAGTTCTCTGTAATCTAGATTTTAAGGATTATAGAAATACTCCAAAATAAAAGTCTGAACAAATAACAAATTTTGAACAGATTATGTTTGTTTTAGGATACAAAAAGAGTTAAGTAATGTCAAGGAGATTTAAAACCTTCAATACTTTAACTATACTTCCAGATATAATACAGAATAGGTTTTTTTTTTTACATCTTTAAATATGTTTTTCCCAATTGTTACACTCTGCTCTTTCATGTAGTTAGCCATTTTAACACTTTGTAAACATCTTAGAACTATCTACAATTGTCATCATTTTAAAGGGAGATAACTCTAGTACAACAGAAAGTTACTACAGGCAATATATATTTAAATAGACTTGGTGTATTATGTATATTATTATTATAAACTATTATGCCTAAATTTTCTTTTTTTAAATCTCGAAAACCAGTTCCTTAGATTTTTTTTAATGTCATATCTCTTCAGGACATATAAGATCATGTCTCTGCACAAATTCTTTTTCTTTATCTGTGAATTGTCATGACTTCTTGAGAAAGTTTATAGTGTAGTTTCCTGTTGCATTCTCCAGGATTTTGAATTCAGAGTAGTTCTTCTCTTCAACTGGCTACCACTCAAGGCTAGAGAGTCCTGTGCTATTTAACTTATAGTTGGAGGAATTTCTTAGATATTGAAAAAGAAATGGAAACATTTCTCTTTACAATAGTAAGAATGAAAACTTGAAGTCCTGCCATAATTAAGACTCAATGCTTTCTTGAAAGTATATTCTTCATTTTAGTTGTTTTTATCACATTTTTGATTGTCCACTTTTAACCTATACTGAGAAATCTTTTAACAGAAACCTAGTTTTTTGACCATAATGTTCTCATCTCTCATTTCATAAATATACCTACTGGGGATTGAATTCAGAAAGCCATTTCTTTCATTGTTTATAGATCAATCCATAATGGGCCTTCAGTTTTCTATCTACCATGTGTTCTGTTCTTTTAAGGTCTGATAGAACTTGACCTAACACGACTGACAGTTGAAGAATTTCCAGTTTAGAAATTGAACTCACAATTCCAGGAAACAACCAGAAATAATAGTAACAGTTTGAACTTTAATCCCCTTTGGCTTCTGTTTTATGACAAATGCTGACTGAAATTATACTCGTCAGTGTAAGATGCTGACTTTGAGGCTTTTAGCATTTTGACAAAGGCCCATTTCTGATGACAGGAGTCTGAAATGCAAGATATTCGCAGCTTACTTTTATAAAACATTGCTTTTTTTTTTTTTTTTTTTCCATTCTGACCATAATTATCTGAAAAATGTCTTCGCAAAATCTAGAGACAGTTGTAGTGAAACAAAGAAACGGCAACGAATTAGAATCAATTTTATTGTCGCTGGAAGTAGCAAGACTTCAGGCTGCTGAATACTTTTTTATGTTGAAGATTTTATATGGTTAACTGGAATTGCTTCTGATGACAGAAATATGGAATGTCTCAAATTGTTATGATTATTATGCTTTTGTGCTTTTCTTTCTCCTCTCAAGTCCTACTATCATTTGGCAAATCAATTTTACTTTGTGCTTATAGTGACCTGGCTTCAGTCGCTTAGTGATATAGACAATTTAGCTCTTATTTTTTTATGCTATATTTCTAAAATGTTTTTTTTTTCTTGACTGTTCTTCTAAAAAGCATTTGCTGTAGTCTTTTTCTTGCT